CTATTCTTTCCCTTTCCATTAATAAGAAAAGAATTGAAGGGGACGGTATTGAAACGGTGGTGACTGGCGACCTTTGCTAATTAAAAAAAAAAAAACTTTTTTACCATAAATGATTGGGAATCATGCATTTTTCTTCGTTTTAAATATCTAAATAAGGTAATTATGAATGCACTTGACTTTTCGAGTCAATTGGCAGCCTATCAGTTTAAGGTACATTCTTCCTCTTTTATGGGCGTGATTTGAGCCTGCCCCTTGACAACTTGTTAAAAAAAAATAAAGTAATTATGAATATTTTATTTTCATTTATAGTTTTTTTCTTTCTTTCTTTCTTTCTTTCTTTTTTACCTTTTTACCTTTTTTTTATTCAAAATGCTATTAAGATGAAATTTTTTTTCTTTTCTTCTAAAAGGGTACATGTAAATTTTTTACTCACTTTACTTACATGCTAACTTAAATTTAAAACCTTTCATTTTTATTAAAAAAATCTATTACTAAACCACTTATCTTGTTGAGAATAATAAAACTTTTGACTTATAAAAAAAAAAAAAACTATTTTGTTGACAAATACTAACACTCAATATCTAGAAATTTTAAAATTTTGGACACTTTATTTGTTTCAAACAACTCATATAACTATGGCTAATATTTAATTATTAATAATGATTGAATTATAAATAAGTATCAACAATTGGATATCCTAAAATGTAGAAGGGAAGGATTTTTTTTTTATTATAAATGCAAATAAAAAATTATTAAAGCTAATATTAATTTTAGTATCAATGTTAAGTGAATGAATTTAATTATATAATTAATAAAATAAAAATTAATTTTTATTTTTTAAAACAAATTTATAGTAAAAATGTATATTTAATAAACCATTAATTTATATCTTTAAGTACATGTTAAATAAATTTAAAATATAAAAGTTTTTCTCACGTCCATCTTATGCACATGTTTAGAATGTTTTAATTATATTTTTTATTAATTATTATAAAAATATAATCAACTTTAATTTCTCAACTATTAGTATATTCCTTTTTTTTTTTCGCTTATCCAATTCTGTCATACAATTTTTTTTTTTAAGAAGAAAGAATAAAGTAGTCCCTGTTCTTAAAAAGCATATATTTGAAAAGTTGTTTTTCTTACAAAAAAAAAAAAAAAAAGTTGCTTCAGCTAATCCTTCCAAGTTTCGAAATGGTGTACTTATTATGAGGGTTGATGGCAAAGTTAATTTTTATATTTTTCTAGGCAAGCTTAAACAAGTTTAAATTAAAATATTCCTAATTTATTAGTAGAGCATAATAATTATATTATTTTATAATTATTTTATATACAAATGAGTAAAAAATTAAGAATATTTTTATTTTATTATTATTAATGCATAAATAATTTTAATTAATCGATTAATTAAATTTAAATTAATATTTATTTTTTATTTAAATTAATTAAAAAATATATTTATTATATTTTTAATTTACACCTTAAATTACACTTGCTCGAAGGGCTCAAACGGCCTTAGTGCTGCCTTGCAGTGCATTTCCTCCTCCCTATGGTGGGTTTACCACCGTTGTAAACTTGGTAAAAAAAAAAAAATTTATACCTTAAATTAAAAATTAAATAAATAAATAAAAGTATTCCTACTCTTTTTTTTTTTAATGGCACGCGCGTGCGCCGACAATTAAACATGTCAATCATACCAAATCCTCTTTGGCTCGCCACGTATGACATCAGAAACTTGATAGAACAACAAACAGCACTGAATCCATACACGTGTCGAAATACGAGTGGCTGGTAACTTCTAGAACGCCATAAAACAATTTTTTGAATCCGAAGGTCGAGGGTCGTCGTGGACATTCTGGAGCCCCAAAGGCAAAAAGACCCAACTGCCCCACCCGAGTCCCAACTATAAAATCGATTCCCATTGACTGACTTCCTCCCTTTCGGTTGGCAGTTTCCGAATTACGCAGAATCGAAACCAACATTCGCGAATCGCGGCTTGGGCTCTTCCTCTCAGGTACGTTTTCTCCTCTTCGTTTCTCTGATTTCGTCTCCCCGGTGAAATTCGAATCCTGAAATTTGAGTCAGTTTCTTTAATCGGATTTGTTGATCGGAATTTATGTTCAAATTTAAAGCATTCCGTGTACCTGTTTCGTTAGGAATTGATGCTGTTTGTGTTGGATCTGTAGATTTAACCAAAAAAATTGGATGCAAAGCCTCAGAATTTGAGGATTCTAAGCGAATGGATTAATCTTTATGCAAATTGGAGCTCGTGATTTAAAGTGCATTGCATATCTGGAAAATTTTAAATAAAAAATTGGATTTTGGTACCTCTTTTTTCGATTTTGTAGCTGTATCAGGTTTTGATTTGGAATGTGTTGAACTTAAATGGGATAGATTGGTTATGCGTGTCTGATAAGAGTGATTGTAATATTAACGTTTGTTTTGTTGTGCTATTGCGAAACGAATCTTGTTTGTTAGGAAATTGAGTCATTTATGTAAAGAGGGTATTCTTCATTTCTTGGAATGTGATGTAGATCAGTTAAATTGATCTTTTGTTTTGATTCTCTTTACGGATAGGTCATCTTGATCAGTTCCATTAAAGGTTTCAAGAACAACTACTCTTTGTTTTCATATTGGACTGTGGAGGATGGCTGAGGTGAGGACTCTTAAATACTGATTTTTGTGTCATTTGTTTGCTCTTTACCGCCATTATTCTCTTGAATTGGTGCTTAAGCTTAACTTCCAACTTTGAATTGGGAGCAGGAGGGTTACAAGGTCTCCTTAAATGTGTATGATTTGAGCCAAGGACTAGCTCGGCAGCTGTCCACATCCTTCTTGGGGAAGGCTATAGAGGGAATATGGTAAGCTTTTAGTTTTTTGGAGAAAAGATGGTGATACGGATGTCAGATTTTCTTTGAAGCTAGAAGCCCAAAATGTTCTGATTTAGTTTTCATACATTTGATAATGCAACTGTAGATTTCTTTCTTTTTTAATTTTAATCTTTGGATTGAGGACTGATCATTTGGCAAGCATGTGATTCCGCTGAAATTCTGCAAAATCTTCGCTCATTCACAAAAGCTTTGATTTATACATACTTGGATTAAGTATTTGCACTCTGCAAATATATCTACTAAAATACATAGTTCATGTCACAAAAGCTACCAAAATTTTCAAACTTGAATATGTCATGACACATATTTATCAAAGTAAATTAATAAAATAAAATACATGGTTACATGGAAGTTGAACAGTATTCTTTAATGGATTCATTTTGGCAATTTTTGGCTTTGTTTTTGGGTTCTTCTCTTATATGGTCTCTAACTTCTGTTTATTGCAGTCATAATATGGGCCTTGCAATCGGTCAAGGGTTTTGCTTATTGTTTTATTTGGTTCCTTTTTTCTCTCAGCATATTCTACTGAAGTTGTTTGCTTCTTTTTGTGGATGAGATGTTGCCATGCCTGTATGAGCTAATTTGTTTATATATCTTACCACTATAGGCACACAGGAGTTGTGGTTTATGGTAATGAATACTACTTTGGAGGAGGTATCCAACATTCTCCAGCTGGAAAAACACCGTATGGGAGACCAATTAGGGTTGTAGATTTGGGTGTCACACATGTGCCCAAGGATGTTTTTGAAATGTATTTGCAGGAAATCAGTGCCCGATATACGGCCGAGACCTACAGTTTGCTCACTCACAATTGCAACAACTTCAGCAATGAGGTTGCTCAATTTTTAGTGAGCGCAAGTATTCCAGACTATATTCTGCAACTACCAAATGAAGTTATGAGCAGCCCAATGGGTGCCCTTATATGTAAGCTATCTAACTCTTATTTATGCTTCGGTTAATTAAAATTCTTTGACGAAATGTTAATCTACATGGGTGGTTTTAATTTTCCATTTCCTGCTTGGTAAGATTTTCATTTCGTATGATGGGATTGCCTTCATTGTTATAATTTTATGCAAATGAGTTATCAATTTCTGCCAAGAGGCCATGTCCTTAGATTTTTGTTTGATAGAACTTGGTAGTTACTTTTGCTAGCTGTGTCATATGTAAATTACTACTTTTAAGTACCATGTTAGGTAAATTTGAAACTTCAAAAATGTTCCTTGCTGGTTATGCTTATGCAGCAAACTCATTGTGCCCTCTATTTCTGCAGTGCCTATGATTCAGAACCTGGAGACAACTTTGAAGGCTGGTGCTGTCCCTCAAGTTCCTCAATTCAGACCTGTATCATTGGGCCAGCCTTCCCAGTCCTTAAATGCTGATGTAAACAAATCATCTGGCAGTAGTAGCCCTAGTCCATCCTCTGGAGAAGTGCGGGATGTCAAAGCTGTGGGACAAGCTATCAAGTCTGAGAAGACAAAGACACCAGAAAAGAGCATGCCTCCTACAGTCAAACCTGCAGGATCAAAGGAGAAATCACCAGCCAATGGAGTCACAAGGGATCCTCTTGGAGATGCTCGGAGCAAGGTGCAGGAGGAGATAAGCCGTGAATTTGCTGCAATAATGGCAACTGGAACTTTGCGGGCAAGTGAGGCAGCCACACTGGCAACACGGAGAGTGATGCAGAAGTATGGGCATCAGAATGTTGCAATGCCACAAAGTTAGAGACGGGGAAAAGGCTTTCTTATTTTTAAAAGGTCCTGTTTTGATTCTCCCATTGTTGGGTTTCAATGCCCATGAACTTATTTAACAAACTAATTTCTTACTCTTAACTAGAATTAGATGAACCAAACTGTTGCCAAGTTGCTGCACCTTAAAAGGACTTGCGTATTGTTCACTCATTGATAAACTATCAAGTCTTTGGAACTATTAATGCAAACATTTGCATTGCTTTTAGTAATGATTGGTATCTTTGCTCCCCTAGAATGCATTAGCACATATCTCTGATTTTGTGATATTCGTTACCAACATCAAAACGAGATGTTCTAGGAAAAAACTGCACTTGTAGCCTTGGCTACATTGGCTGTGCAGCTTAAAATCAATGGTACATACCTTCGTTCTATTCTGAGTCTTGTAAAATTCCCCCCTCCCCCAAGTTCCCAAATTCCCATTGTTCCAAAAATAGAAAAATTTCCCCAAAAACAATGCTAGGTTGTGAATCAAGCTTATCAACATTTTTATATTAAATTATCCACAAATGATAAAACACTTATTTATGTACCAAATTAGTCCACAATTGGACATGCAAAGATCCCATGATTCCTGACAAGATGGTGCAATGACAATTTCTCAGAATCAAGATCACATAACTTGAATCTTCCAGAACAATTATAGTTTCTTTCGGATTGTGGTGTGATTTTGCTGGGCGCACTGATAAGCAGATGAACCTAACTCTCTTATGAGACAAACGGATACCCCTAAAACGAGAGGGCTAACTGACTTTCGTGAAGTAATGACATTGTAATTTACAAACTTCAATTTAAAAGCCGGTAGGCTATTTACGTTAAAAAATGAGAAATGCTGGAAATGGTAACCATTACTGTAATACAGCATCTCAACAACATTCTAAGAAATTGCAACTGCTTGATGAGGCGATGAGACACACCCTTGACTGGTTGAATTTACATTTTCATGTTCTAATTCAGGAGTAGATTCTTTTGATTGGCTAAATGCATCAGAGGGTATGTTGATGCCTGCAAAACCAATCATGACAGCAACAGCTCCGAGGTAATCCATGAGGAGAGGAGCATTGCCTGTTAGCGTATCCACCAGAGCTGCCAATGGTACTTGAATTGTAAGACCAGCTGTTGCTACTGTGGTTGTTGTGAGAAGAACAGCTTTGGCCCATAAGTAATCACTCAGCACGTTGTCTAACAAACCTACACATGATGAAGGTGCAAAAGAGTTAGACAAAAAAAATCAGGACATGCTTTTGAGAAAATAAAGACTACAAAATAGAGTAAAGAATAGAAAGGAATCATAAATTTGAAACTCATAGCATCGGGATAGGGTCAACATGATCAAGGCACCAAAAGCAACTGGCAGAGAAAGCATTACACTCTATGTGTTAGCAGCACAAGAGGTTACAACATCTTGCCCATGGCATGACTCCACAACTCTTCAATATAAAGGAAACACTTGGACCATGAAAATGGAAACCAGTGCCATGGAAATATGGGAAAAGCCATGATGCATTAATTCACAGAAATGATGGGCAACAGCAATTAAAACTTTAAAGTGAACTCCAACTTCATCGTCTTCTATATCACTTAAATACAAACACAATAATGTGGGATAATTTTAATGAAAAAAAGTGACTCATTGACTCCCAATGCAGCAAACAGTCTAGTCTCTATATTACTCTCAATATTGTACACACTCTACTGCACTAAAATCATGGCAAAGTAAGGAGTCTGCATTCAACAACATAACTGCCGTCAGTTTGCAAAGCTTCTAACAAAAAGTCAAGCCAAGGGATGACATTATTCACTCATTCAGGGATGTCATAGAAGAATTTAACCTTCCAGTAATCCTTCTTCTTTGAATTTCAAACTTTTAAGGGATTATCCAACTGATTTTAACATGAGCAGAAGCTATTTTCTGTCTCTTGCTCTAATTATTTTGTTTGTTAATCAGTTAAATGTAGCTTATTTTTTTGAAAAAGAAAAGTACTTGGCTTGTGACCATTAATTACTGTAATGTCACAACCTAAATCCATCACTGTGAAACAGCAAAGGTAGAAGTGATTCAATTCAAGACATGACTTATTCTGAGGCAAGATGACTATGGATTGCCAACCAGTTCATATCCAAATCACCATCACAATGAAAATGCAAATGCCAATGCCTATTAAGTAGTAGTTATCATTCACCTAAGCCTCATAGGACCCATCAATCTGATGCCACTATAATTTTACTCTAAATCCAGTTTCAATATCAGTTTTCTCTGCTATAATATTACATATAACATTACACACAATAGAACTTTTGCATGTGGTTTCTATAGCCTATTAGTTGGCAAATAATGTACCCTATTACATGTTTCAGGGCACATATATACTGTTATACAAAAGAGCAATGCGCCCCATGAGATGAATCAGAAATTGACAGGCTATGAAGAGGCTGCCTCAAGCACTGTTGATGAAGCTAAATGCCATAATTCCCTTTAGAGGGAAAGAAGCAATTTAAACCTTATGTCTCAATACAAAAATGATAAACAACCAAAAAAGATGCTACAGAATCATCAAAACTTCCACAATAACTGGCATTTTAATCTTCAAGGGAAAGAAGCAATTTAAACATTATGTCTCAATACAAAAACGATAAACAACCAAAAAAGATGCTACAGAATCATCAAAACTTCCACAATAACTGGCATTTTAATCTTCCATTGCAGATTGGGTGCCAACTCACTTAGTCAACATTGAAGCAGATTGACAATAGCATTAGCACCTATATGTTGAAAGAATTGATTTAATTGTACTTTCTTACCAGTATCACCACAGCATAATTGATACGTGCTAGCATGTGAACTATTGTACCAGTAACCCAAAATAGCCAAAACTCTTAGATAGATTGCTCATAGAATCTACTGATTTCAAGACAAGAAAGCAATTAAGGCTGAAATTAAAAATAAAAGAATATCATTGTATGCCTTGACAACAAACCTTTTCCAACAATTAGGCCTGCCTGCTTCCAGGTCAAGGTACTGAAGGGTTCCAGCTTGGTAAAATTAATTATAAGAGCAAAAGGAAGAAATATGATCAGATTGAAAAGTCCTAGAAATCCAAGGAACTGTGCCATGCTTGCCTGGCCACTCTTTTCTTCATCATCGGGCAATTTCTTGCGAATAAGTGTAACATAAACAGCATATAACGCAGCTGAGACAAGAGCAAATATGTCTCCAAGAAGAGGGTTTGAAGCAATTACACCTAAACTGGTATTTGAGTTTTCTGAGTCACCCAGGCTGACAATAATCGTTCCAGCCATGCAAAGAAGAACACTTGCAAGCTTTACCCAAGTGAACCTCTCACCCAGGAATGCTAGGGAGACCAGAAAAGTGAAAAGGCTGGATGCACTGCTTAAGATGGTGTTAGACTGCAAAGAACAAGTGTTAATTAGTACAGAACGATAAACCACAACCAAAAGCCAAACAAAGGCAATACTTGAAAATTTCAATATGCTTACCGTAACTGTAGTATATTTCAATGAGAGATTAAAAGTCAATTGGGCCAAAAACCAAAATGGGCATACTTGCAGGCTGACCTTGGCCACTCTAGTCCGAGTCCATCGCCCTTTTGCATCCAAATCTTTATTAGTTTCTTCATCAGATTTACTTTGATCAGGCAAAGTCCTTTCAGCACCATGTGATCCAAACTCCAAGTTGTCTCCAACATCTGTCTCTTCCTGATTAGTTTCTCCCTCTTTCAAAGGTGAAGGTAGATCCAATCCAGCCACTTCTGTTCTTGAACTACTCTCTCCAAGAAGAATAACCTGCTCTGATTCTCCTAGTTCTTGTAAAGGATTGCTCTTTTTATATCTCCAGAACAATAAACCTCCACAAGTATCCTCTAGGTAGCGTCCAACTTCAACTATAGGAATGTAAATGACAAATAACGAATTGCAAATGTATGTGACTAGAAATGGAGAGACACCCCCATCAACAACAGACTGAACCACAAAACTGGCGGCAATCCATATTACTGCAACTAAGAATATGTATATCAAACCCAAAACCCAATTCCAAAATTTACTTCTCTTATCTTTCGAAGCCATTACTACTACTTATCAAATCAAATGCCCGATCTTTAAAAAAAAATGCTCAAAACTTTACACTAACTTCAATCCTAGAATCCCCATATTGAAGAATCCCTCCTACATGGAACATAACCCAGATACTCCGCTCATAATTGACATCAAAACTTGGCTGAAACAAACAAGAAAAGTGAAATAAATAAAAGTTCAAGATTGCACCATATTGAAGCAAAAGATCAATCCCAAATTATAAACTCAAACACAGATTTGAAGGAACACCGAACAGAAAGTTAATAAAATCAGAATGGATGACTCTAGAATTACGCGACAGAATTGAAGGTTTGCAGCTGCGACATGTATGTTAAGAGTAATCTTAAGAAAAAAAAAAAAACGAAAACCTTGAAAACATAGAAAGTGCAGAATTATGAGAACTGAGAGCAAAATTATGAGCGAATCTACAGCACATCGTTCATAGAGCAATTACCTGTCCTGGAAACTCAAAACTTGAAAAATGGATTGTCGTTCCTCCTGGGAGATCTGGTTTCTGTTTTATCGGGTTTTCTGGTTTCGGTAAGGTTCTGAGAAAGAGGAGAAAACAATATATTTTGGCTAAAATCAAGATGAACCAAAATTTAATTGTGACGCAAAGACTTCGCTTAATATGCCTGTGGCCTTTTAGAGTAATGAAATTACTGAATTATCACTAATGAAAAATATGAGGTTGGTTCCATAAAGGTAGTTTAGTAAATTTATAAATTAGATTGTATTTTTAATTTACAATCTAACTTATAATTTTTTTTTTATTTTTGATTTTAACTTTAATAAATTTTATAATTTCAAACAATAAAAACTCATTTAGTTTTATATGTTTATGCAACATTATATTATAATTATTACAATTCTACGGTAATTTAATTTGGGACTTCGAGAATGAGAGGGAGGAAGACAATCTTGTTTAGAAAAAAATATTGTACAGTTTAAATTATTATAGGATTCTTTTTTTTACCTAATGATTTATATTTTATAATTCAATACAATCTAAATTAAAAAATTGAAAACTTAATTTGAAATGATTACTTATGAGTCTTATTAAGTATAATAGTTCTATTCCATTGTATCAAATATAACCTCATGTCTTATGAATGATATTTCCATTGTCCTCATAAAACAAAACAAATATCTTTTTTTTTTTTTTGATATCCCAAAACAAATCATTAATTGTTGAGATTCATAATAAATTGATAATCAATTGAGTTTTTCTCGGTGGAGATAATCAATTAAGTTGATTAGTCATTTCTAACATGTTTTTAAGGCAATGTTACACTTGTTATGTTTCTGAATAAAGAAAGGATCGTGAAAAATCAGTCATAATAAAAAAAACTTAAATACAATTCAAGAATTTAAACATACAAGTGTACATTTGAACAATTTAACACGCAGTTTTAACATTTAAAATACCAAGAAATTTTAATTTTACTTATGGGATGTAAAGAATTAAAGAATCATTTTATTTCATAATGTATACGTTCATCCCCATTACATATCTTAATCATCTGCTTTCACTTCAACATCACTCCTTAAGATGAAAAGAAAGTCTTCGGAAAAAGGTATGAGAAAGCATAAACCATAACGAGGTATGCATTATGGATACAGCATTTCGTATATATTAAGCAAATTTTTATGAGGAAGGAGTAGCCGCACATCGTGCTTGTGCTTGAACTTGGACATGCCTAGAGTGCGAACCCCATTCTATTGCTTCCGCCACAGCACGTTGGCGTTCCCTTATACTTTCTTCGTCATGTGGGTTTCCATTTGTACAAGCTCCCTGTTGATTACAAACCGTCTTGGGTAGAACGAAATCTGCATCGCCTCCGCCAGGACTATTTCCTAGAAAACTAAGTGCTGTGACCACGTCGCTGATCAAGGGGCGTACTTCGGGTTCTTCTTGCAGACACATAGCTGCAGCTGCGACTGCTTGGTTCAAACCTCTAACGGGGAAATCTCCTCCAAGAAGGGGATCAGCCAGTTCTGGGAACCTACTCGGTTCCCTAAATGTAGGTTGTGCCTGGTAAAATGTATGTCTTATATTAGTATTAAGAAAATATACAGAAAGAAGGTTCAAGCCAATTGAATTAATAAAGCGAATAGAAATAAGTGTAAAGATGGTGAGTTTGACTCACCCATGTAACTAGATTTTGCTCATGAGTCTGTCTTGTGGTATCAATAGCTCTTCTTCCAGTGATTAATTCCAACAAAACGACTCCAAAGCTGTAAACATCTGATTTAACTGTTAACTGACCTGTTCTTTGGTACTCCGGGGCGCAATAGCCATAGGTTCCCATCACCCTTGAAGATACATGAGTCTTGTCCCCGATCGGTCCAAGCTTTGCTAACCCAAAATCAGATAGTTTGGCATTGAAGTTGCTATCTAGCAAGATGTTGGAGGATTTCAAGTCACGGTATATGACAGGGGGATTTGCCTTGTCATGCAAGTATTCCAAACCCCTTGCAGCATCCAAAGCTATTTTCATTCTTGTGTACCAATCTAGTGGCTTTTGCTCCGGTGAAATTTCTAAGATTCAACAATGCACAGAAAACTATCAATGCTCTAGCTTTTAGCTATGAATCAATAAGTGTCCACTATCATGTTAAAAACAACGCACTCAACCTAAAAACTCAATCTTTTAGATAAAATAGTGGTTAAGAGAAGGGAAAATGTGGGGAGAACAAAGTACCAAGTAGATGGTCTTCTAGAGATCCCAATGACATGTATTCATAAACCAGAAGCCTCTGCTCACCATCAGCACAATACCCAATAAGATTCACAAGGTTTTGATGGTGCAAAAGACTTAGCATCAACACCTCAACAAGAAATTCTCTGTTTCCTTGCAATCCATTCCTATCAAGCTGCTTCACAGCCACAACCTGAATTTTGCAACAAACCCAATGAGACTCCATAAATCCTCTTAGTTTTTTAGGTACATCAAATGATGGGCTATACAACAGGGAATCACCCTCTCCTTCCCAAATCCCTCCCTACCTATCTCAGGATTTGAACTTGAGATCTTCAACATGGAGATTCAAGCTCTTAACCACTTAAAATGTCCTCTCAGGAACGTACGGATCCCCTTAGTAATGCAATGCAAATGAAATATGTTGCAAAATTCTTTTACCTGGCCAGTTGTCTCAAGAATTCCTTTGTAAACCCGCCCAAATCCACCTTCCCCTATCAAGCATTCTTGTCTGAAATTCTTTGTGGCCGTGGCCAGTTCTCGAAATGTGAATGTCTGCGCCGCAATGTTGTTGTTGCCCGGATCCTTCTGGGTGTCTGAACTGACTGGAGATTCAGAATTAGACCCATGTTTACATTCCTTATAGCAAATTTAAATTCTAATTCCTTTCTCAAAACAGAAACATGGGTCATGCGATTCATGGAACACCTTCTGTTAAAAAATTTCCAAACGAGAAGGAAGATTTTTACCTGTCCGTGGTTGGGAGCCAAAGGGTTCTCTCTGAGGAACAGGGGCATACTGCTGTTCTTTCCTGGAACTATTTATCCTCTTATACGAAAAACAAGAAAAGCAACTCATTTCTCCTTAATGGGGGTGTATGAACTTTAATGTTTCGAAATCGCAGAGACTAAAATGGTTCCTGGAGATCGGAATGGAATTGGAGAGTTGAAAATTCGTATTTAATTACAATGAATTGAGCTGAATTTGAGAATGCTGGCATCTAAAATGCGTACCGGCTCTAAAAACAAAAAAGGAAGAACTGTATGTGTTTTAGGATATGTGGAAGGTTGTCATTTGTGATAGCAACTGAAAAACTGAGGAAACAAATCCCAAGATTAGAAAAGAAAACAAACATGGGGAAGGTAATTGATAAGAAAATGAGAGATAATTGAGAGTTTAAGAAAGGAGATTAATTGGTCAGAATGAAACAAGAAATGGGTTCTTCTAGAGATCTCCGCGGAAATTGGAGGAAAATTTAGGGGTTGTCTTAACGGAAAGACATTTGAGGAGGGGAATGTCGGACAATGGTCTCATTTTTTGGCGGGAAATGAGGAGGTTAAAAAGCGGTTAGAAGGGTTACATGTTGGACGCTGTTTTAATCAGTGCAGACTCACGAAAATATAGTCATAAAATTTCACCAAAAAAGAAAATATAGTCATAATTTTATAATTATAATATCATGCATGATTGTAGGATTATAAGTTTATTATTATAATATATTATTAAATAAATAAATAAGTGTCCAGCACTTGGTGACCTACTAGCTACCTCTTTGCAGACGTGCTTAGAACTAGAGAAATTTGGAATTAAATCCCAGGTTCCCCTTCCTCGAAAAAATTTCATACTGTTTAAAAAAATATATATTTGAATAAAAAATTTAATTGTATAATTTTTGAACGAACAAAAATTAATTATATATTTAAATAATTAGAAAATAAAAAAATAAAATCCGTAAAACTTGAATAAGCATATTATAAGAGGTGATTCATACTAACTTAGGATCAAAACTATTAGATTGAAGTATGGAGATTAAAATTAATTATATAATGATATATTATAATTATTAAATTATAATGTTATTTAATATTATAACTATATTATTTTTGAAAAAAAAGAGATAACTCATCGTCTTGATTGACCCCAACCAAAACCCCCCAATGAGTAACAAATTTGCAGATCAAGATTCATGTAATTCTTAAAATCTAAAGATCAAGTTGTCAATAATAACGCACCATGGCTTGTGGGATGCTATCAAAATCTCAAAATGGGAACCCAATTAACGTAAAAGGTGATTGAGATCTGACAATGAGAATGGAGATCTGACAAAGAGAATGGGTGAAATGAAAATTAATGCTGAGGGGACCCCATTGAATTTCTTGTGCTACTTCATGTCCTGTTCTACGTCCATGTCCACTGCCCTACCTGCCAATTCATGCAATTTTTATCTTAATAAATCATGCTTCAGCCACTGGAAGTGGCAGTGGGAGAAACAAAGTCATCTTAAACAAACCAGGCCTTTTCTTGAAGGTTAGTTTGATTGGTGGTAATTGCAATTCTTTGGTTAAATTATAAAAGTAAGCTAAAATTGAGCAGAATCCCTGAGAAGCTAGAAATACCTAAGCAATGTCTAATTTTTCTTTTACAGTCACTTCATGGCCACTTTCTTCTAAATTGCTAGTGACGTCCTAACTGAATTGCATAATGTCATCCCCTTGCACTTAAAAGTAAAGGCATTTTAGTAACAACTTATTAATTCTAGTGAAAAGAACTAAATTTCTTTTAAATAAAATTTTAAGTTTAACTCTTATAAGTAAATAAGCATTTGAAGAACTTCTCTAATTCCTCTCATGAGGTCCAACTCAAGTTGACTTTAGATTAATCATGGCACATTATAACCTTCAGATACCGAGAAATTTAGTAAAAAAAAAAAAGAATAAAGAATAAAGGTTATCTTGAACATGTTTGAAGCCAATGGAAGCTATTGCTTATTGCTTGATTTAAAAGAATGAGAGAGATATAAATACAACAGTACAAGATTACAGTATCACCAGATTTGGAGTTTGTGTATAACCAGTCATGCATTAAGAGACACATTAACGTCGACAGAGGAGTCTGTCAAGATGACGCTTTTCGAATGATCGGCTTTTGGGTGATCCGGAGACTCAAACTTTATTCTAACATGCAGAGGTTTCAAGAAGATGAGGTCTCTCAGATCTCTCTTTGATTTTGACAAGAACTGAAAGCATGAATCTCTCCTCATCCCTTCATTTCTCCCAGTTAATATATCTGCTATCCTTGCAGCATATTTCTCTGGATTATCTTCCTGTGAATCTGGATTTCTTTTAAGTCTCAAATATAATGCTGCATAAACAATTACCTGTGTGGTAATTGAGGGAAAAAAAAATGGCATTAGTAGATTGACATAACTGTTGGAAAATAAAATCTGTCATGACATAAACTAAAAAATACCTCACTTGTCCCAGGACTGGTATTAACCGCACAATCAATGCATATTCTATGATCTTGAGTTTTCATGTCTGAAGTAGTATCTTCATCCTCAACATTCAACTCTGATTCAGGTGTTGAAAAGGCTAGATTGTCCAATTCATCATACCACTGTTGGGCAACACCAACCTGTACAAACCCATAAACTGAGAGCCTAAGCTGCTGTAGATAACCAACGTAGAAATAAAAGAAAATGGAAGAATGATAGGGAGAAACCTTCTCTGAGGATCCTGCTGCATGTTCCACGCCTGAGACTTCATTAGCAGCCCCTCTTGCCTGTAGCCAGATACAACTTTCTTGCAACGATTCTACAACTTCAGTGTCTGGAGGGATGTCTACGTACAACCGTATGTCAACCCTTCCTGTCACAGGCAGCTATATGAGAAGCACTAGAAGTTGGATAAACAAGGACCTCCTTACATGCTTGGAAACTTTAAATTCCATTGAATCATTGCACAGCATAAACATAACCAAAAGGTAAGCATGTTCCTTTACAAGGAAAGGCAAAAATATCTAAAATGAATTCATAGAAACATCCACAAAATTTTCATTGTGTCAATGATCTTGTTAAAGATTCATCAACAACCACAAAAAAAAAAAAAAAAATCTTCCATCTACTGACAATTATATGGGATTCTCGGGAACAGACATGTAAAAGATTTTTTTATGCAAGATCATACAACATCTACAATTTTGGATAAGTTTGGCCAAAATTCTACAAAGATTTTTTGTTTTTTTTTTTTATTTTCTTAAGAGTTATTACTCCATGGCAACAGACATCTAAATAAAAAGTCAGGTTCATATAAAGATTTTTGGGATTTGCAATTCCAGTCCCTGTATCAATGTTTAAACAATCCTAAAGATTTTCCTACCTATTGGTTATGTGGATATATGCAGAAATATAAAGCCAGAACAAGTCTAAAAGTTTAAACTAAAGGGAAGGCCTGAATCAACAGACATATTGGCCAGTTCAAAGCAACAGAAGTTCAGGTTCGATGAAACTGTCCTTTCAACATGCAGGTAATCACCCAAAGAGGCCATCAATTTAAGGTCCCACCCAAAATAAAACCATTGTATTAGGTTGAATAGAAATATAGCATATACTGTTTCATATAAGGAATAGAAGCAACAGTTCAAGCAGTAATATACCTGGCAACAAACTGAAGCATTGGAGATGATCAGTTTGTCCTCCTGGGAGTCCAGCAGCACTGTGAATCATCAGCCACAAAACACGGAATCAAAAAGAGGCCAACAGAGAGCAGAAAAAGATAAGTTATGCATGCAATTCTAACAATGCCAAAAAATTGAAGTCACACAGTGTGAGCAAGAAAATAATTTTGCTAAACATTTTGCACATGTAAGCAACTTTCAAAATGTAAGAAAACTTACTCAGCATAAAATCTTTCCAGAGGGAAGGACAACCAGTAGGGTAATCCAAGGATCCCAAAGTTTGAACACTGGATGTTTGAACAGATTCTTGATTCTTTACTTAGTTTTAGAACACCCTGTCCAACTTGAAAATACATAGGAAAATAAGTAGTCATACAAACCCTATAAAATGTACACAGTGATGAAAGAAAATAAATAAATATATATATTGTCTAATAATTTAGTACCCATGTCACACATGATTATGTAATTCTGACAGGTTGTAATGCATGATATGAGCCCTTCCAGTGAACAATAAGCATCTGTTTGCTGTTTCAGAAAATCATGTGGCATCTGTTTCAAGAGAGATAATTTGTCCAGGATCAAGTCTCCACATATGTCCAAAATCTTTGAAAATCCTATAGTCCGAAAAATAATGTTAGACGAATATGGCTGATGCAAATATAACAGAAAAAAGTACATTGAGATAGCAATTAAACCTTTGGCAACTTCCTGTATCTCTCCTGATCCAAGATCTAATATCCATAGTGTTTCAAAGCTGCAAACAAAACAAATTGTGAGGCCAACAGCTTAATATAAAACAAAAACTTAGATCAAGCATCAAACATGCAGCCATTAATTGAAGGCTTCTGAGCTATTGATCATATCGCTAGAGCAATCATATACAAGCATCATTCATGCAATGAGAACTAAGAAACCATATAATTTAGCCTCGGTTGAGGAAAAAATCCATACAAAAAAAAAGAACAGAAAAATAAATAAATGAATGTTCACTGTCCCTGTAACTAAACCACTTTTAACTGTTTGAGGAAGCATGTCCTCATATACATGAAACCTACCTGTTGCTCATTAACTATGAAAATGTAACAAGAAAAGCATCCCTTACCTACGATTGATGACTAAGAAATTTTCCTCATCTGACTTCATAAGATGCCAAGGAAACATTAATGACTGTACTTGCAAGTCAAATTTCTCAGCCTTTGATTTGGCATCACTTTGAAAACCAAATTTATTCACAATCCAGGTCCATAAACTATTATTTTTCTTGACGCTAGATGTTGGATAAACTGTTTCTAAAACCCGTGCCTCCAAATCAGCTCTCCTGATGGCATGGTTCTGATAGTGACAAACAAATCAAAAAACAAAAGAATATTAAGATACTAACTGCTGCATCATTAAAACCTTAAGGCTATGTACTAAACCAAATTGAACAAAATAAATTTATAAAAGAACCTGACGATTTGATGATTTACTCTTAAATTAAAGGACCTGGCTGCATACCTCTGAGTCTACAATATATAGGTGATCCTCATCAGCATCATAAAAAGAGGCAGCAGGACGAGACAACTTGCAAGATTCAAATTCTCCATCCTCAAAACCTGGGCAAGAACCAATCTGACATATAAAAGATAAAAGTCTGAATCTAAACTGTAAATTATCATTTCATTTCAACTTTTTTCAGTTTCTAAGAAATAATGTCAAATGATCATGAAAAAAACTGATGTGGGAAAGCTGTGTACTAAAGTTAACAATAATAACAGTTTAAAAGAGGACTCAAATTCAGAGAAAGTAGTTCACAATGTCCTTGATATAAGGCAACCGAAATGAAATGTACTAATATGACGTACTTCAATTCACAATGAGCATAATATAGCTGTTAAGGATGAGCCATTAATAGAGAGCAATCTGCTGTCAAACAAATATGATAAACCAAAATGGTACAATGATGATCCAGTTAATATGTTGTCCATCATTTTTGTAAACATCCAATCTAAAACAAAATGGTAATAAGTGGAGTAGTTCACAATGTATTTAAGTCCACAGGTTCCCCTTAACTTTGTGATGTGGAATTTTCTCACTTTACAATTTTCATATCCACTAATGCAACATGCCACAAGTCAAGATATGAGAAATTAAATTCACATTTTAACCATAAAATGTGACAGATATAAATTCCATACACAGTCCAGAATCCTTCCATTGCTATTGAGTATGATTATCCGGTGATGATTGCTGTCAGAAAGGAACAAGCGATTCCCACTTTCATCTGCAGAAATACATCCTGCAGAAAAAAAAAAAAATGGTAGGTTTGAGAACACTGCATTTTCATTCTGCTAGACAACTTACCAATAATCAGCCTTACTACTATTGTTAAAAAAGTTGCAATCAGCCACCTGATGGGCCCCATTTTATGATGACATAATGGAAAATTTTACATAAGGATAACTAAGCAGCACACTGCTATCAAGTTCCAATTAATTTGATGCACTTTACATTAACTTCAGTGACTGATACCATAATGATATTTCTTTGGGAGAGTGAGGATGATTTGTTGACAAATGTAACCTACCATAGTTTCTGTGTTTAAAGATTATCAAGTTGGGCATAAGATATGGATACAATAAATTACATTTAGGATAGCATGTCAGCTAAAGAAGGGTAAATATATGATCAATTTCTTTAAAATTCTTGTGATTCTTCAAACAAGAGAAATAAACCTTCCAACAAACTGGGGAAGCTTCTATAAATTAAGATCCTCAAAAGTACTTGAATGCAATTATATGAGATGTATAAACTATATGTAGAAAACCTATACCTGGGAAATAAAGAAGTAAGTTCTGCAGAGAAGAACAAAAATGTGGTCCCTTAATGATGTCTGCTTGTTTTGACCAAGTGCTTTTGAACTTATCATTCATAGAAGAATTCTCATTGCTTCCCACACTTATCTCCTCAATGGCTGCAAAAGGACACCAAATAAAGTAAATAATACAGGTATTTGCATGTTTAATAAAGACAAGTACACCATATGATATATAATTTAAATCCAACAACAATATTCATAAAACAGTGCTCATATTTATATGGTAGTTTCTTTTTTCTTTTTCTTTTTTTTTTTAATAAAAAAATGGAAACACTAAGAAAAGACATAAAGGGAGGAGGGAAAACCAAGTAGGGGAACTGGATATTTTTTAACATCATTAGCATCAAGTTGACAAATTGACAAGTCAGTATGTAGGATCTGAGGAAGCGGAAATAAAATAGAGAGGAGAATATAGAGAAGTCATGCTGAGAGAAGCTGAGGTTGAGAAGAAGAGGTGTATGAAAGGGAGGAGTTGGGTCAATGCATTCTCATGTTAATATTCAGGCATCATATTGTATCTATGCCAAAGCAGCACAGCCATGTAATCTGCAGTAAATCACTATTAAACATCTGATATGAATTTATATCATAAAGAAAATGATTCAATATATTCTGTAAAATAATGAGAGAGAGAAGAAAAATAACTGCTGAACAACAAATATACAATTGCAGGCCAGTTCTTAAGCTAATATCTTGAAGAAGATTGAATAATTTCAGTGTAAAACTGAGCCTAATTCCAAAATATATCACTCAGAGATCATTCTTCTGCACACTTAACAAAAAAAAGGGAATCATAAATAGATAAAGATAAATAGCTGAAGAGAAGTATTATCTAGGTTGCTTTGAATGTAAAGCTGCCAAATCAAGACTAGCAAAGGCAAAGCTAAAGTTAAACATCTGACAAAAAGCACCCCATTTCTGAATACTATTACATTGTTCCAAAGTAGATTCCTCGGGTTAAAACAAGAAAGAAAACAATTAACATACCTTTGCAAATTGTTCCAAGATCAGCATCCTTGTCATCATAAACAACAGGGTTCTTAAAATCTTTAAACAAGATATATTGTGTCCCATTTGCCATCTAAATACAACGGAAAACAGTATGTTTAATTAGACTTTTACCAGAATTTGTAAAATACAATAGCACATTTTGTTATTACAAATACCTAAAACAGAATCAGTCACCTACGGTGGAAGTATTTCAATTATCAAGGGCACAGTACAGAAAACACAATGAAATCAGCAATGTATAGCAGCTTGGAAAAGCACATTTGGTGCTGCATTCTCAGGAAAATTAAAACAAACAAGAAAACTCAAAACTCACCTCAGAGAAGTTTTTATTTGAAAATAAAATGGGAAAAGTGATATATTCCTTCATTATCAACTGAAGGAGTTGAGTTCGGTTAGAAGAGCAAACTGAACTGCAACCCTGAAAACCCATAACATGAAGCTGGGGAAACCTACACAGTGTAAAAATATATATATAAAAAAAAGAATCTCAGAGCAAAAGAACCAGCTCAAGAAGTAGAAGGAAATAAATAAACTCTGGATGTTTCTGTACCTCTGCTGTAGTGACTTTACTTTTTCAAATGTAACTGGGTCACATCCTGCTATCTCAGAATTATCATGAAATCTTCCAACAAGAACTAAAAAAGCACCACCCTTCTTGACATTGTTATTGTTTCCCTCATCTCTATTTACCCAGCAATGATGAGGACCTGCAGAAGTGTCAGAAGATAATACAGACAAGAAGCAAGAAATTCATTACATCAGTCCTCCAAATATTCATCTTAACCAAGTTATCTTTTCCAAGAAGTGGAAGTTAATACCTTGAAGCTGATCAACAGCGTGTTCAATGAAGGACACCACGTTAGTTTCAGCACGAGGGTCCAGAGAAATTGTAGAGTACCTGAAAGAGACTGTCAACTGTAAATTAGAAGGACCAAAATTCACAGCATTGAACAAAAACCATTACAATGAGACAACCAACAAATCATTCAAAAGAACAAGTGGGGTTATAAAATTACCAACCAGGAAGACAAAATCTCTCTGAAAACCCTCTGTTGATTTCATCATATACAGGGTGCAAAGAAATCAAAGAGGAAGCTACTAAGTTGATTGCTTGCCTACATTGATGGTGACAATGATAGCCTGCAAATTAAAAACAAAAGAAAAGAAATTGACAGAAACGAATCAAACAAGAAGTAAACAAAGTAGAAAACGAACCCAACAAGTAAAGCCAAAACCTGAGGAAATATGGGGCAAAAAGCTGGAAACTTTTTTGAGATTTCGACATCTCAAAAACATCTTCCGCTGAAATTTTGGAGGGGAAATATGAAACGATTAGAAATTGGGTCGATGATGAATTGATCATCGGCGCGGCGGGGATTCAATTTCCGGGTAGGGTTTAAGCTATCCGTTATTGATTAGGGTTTTGGAAACCGGGTACCGGATCCTGGTTAATTGTATTGGGTCCAGAAGATGGTATGGGCGCGGCCCAACTGGTCAGAACCTTTGGGCCTCACAATAGAGAATCTGATTTTCGAGTTATCTGCACTGCAGGATATTTATGGACAATATTGATTATCAACATTAGTTACATTACCCCCCCAAACTTGGCCAAAACGATAGATAATGCCTCCCCACTCATCTTATAATTGGAACTTTAAACTTTTAACGTGGAAATTAAAATTCTTAAATACTAGAACAGTCTAAAATTACATAATTATTTTTGACATTTCACCTTCAATATATTAATTAATTGAGATTTTGAGTTGTAGTATAAGTACATGCATGAATTTTCGCCAATAATATTTGATGGTGAGTACCAAAAAACTAAATTTTGGATGCCATCTTTAGAGAGGAAGAGATAAAAAGAAAAGAGGAGTTATCAATGAATAAATGCCTCCTTTAAAGTTTGGGTTTGTCTAAACACAGGATAGAGTGTATTAATTGCATCTTTTAATTTTTAATTTTTATAAAAAAAATAGCAAATGTTGACTTTACTTCTATTACCAATTTCATATGCACATTTTTAATTGGATGATTGATAAAATTAAAATTATTTTTTAATTTTTTAGTACAAATTAATTATAAAATATATAATAAATATATTTTTAATTTGTGTCTTAAAAAAATCATTTAACTTTTTATATGCAATTTAAAATGTTTTTACTTTTTATATAACAAATGAATAATAATTAAATTTAAAAATTTTCGCAATTATCATTCACATTTTATATAAAAGTATGATCTAAAAGTACATATAAAGTCTAAGTATAACAGCTAATTCTTAATGAAAATAGTATAACACAACACCGTTGCATACTGCACCTCTTTTTATGGAAGACCATTTATTTATTACAAGTAATCTTCATTGACCATTGTAGGAGGAGAATATAACATTCAGTACTCCAATTATAAAATTGGGATGACACTGTTTTGTTCTCTTCTAAACGTCTTAACCTTTTATATATATATGTCATTTAGCAGTAATCATTAACGAGAATGAAGTCATTCTTCCTTTGTTGTTCTCAAATAATAATTCCTAAATAACACAATACTAATTTCTTTCGTATAGAAATAAAAAATTTTAAATTCGAGTTATATAATATATGAATGAAAAAAATTAAGAAGTGATAAAAATTTATTTTTTATTATATAACTCAAAATTTAAAAAAAAATTGTTATAGGTTGGTGGTAATCTCATTGCAACCAATCCATAGATAATCCTTCGCTCCTTTAATCTCTTTTCTTTAAGTGAAGGCTCGACAATAACATTACATAATGGAACTAATTAATTGTTTAACTATTCTTTCTTTTCTAAGAAAATATAAATCATAAATGATAAAGCATATCATTGGTAGTGCTTTTTATTCAACGAGAGGGGGATTAGTAATGATAGTTTTATTATTGTCAAATCATGGGGCTTTTTTCTTTTCATGACTTTGTTGTCTATACTTTTTCTCGAACAAAGTGTTGAGAAGAAAAAAGCAAAGTCCAAACACTCACCTAAATGATTTCGATCTCTGCCAAAAACAAAACAACAAAATCTCCTCTCTTTTCCGTTATATACACACAGAGATCTGACTCTGCCTTCTTTGCTCAGATTCAGTTCTTATCTGCCTTTTATTCACCAATATTGCTTTGAATTAATACCCAACAATTGGAATGAAACCCATTTAAGAAAACCATGCCCTAATTCTTCCTTAATTTATTTCCCTTTTGTGTTTTTCCTTGGATTAATCTGCCATGGTTTTTGTGTTTAAACCATTGAAAGCGAAGCTCTTTCAATCCAAATATGGCAGAAATTGAGGGCACACACTTATATCAAAAACTAAAAAAACCTAGCATTCTCATGCCTAGATTCTCAAATCCTTAGCCCCAAATCAAACCCCCCCCCCCCCAAACCAATAGAAGAGAATATGAAACCAAATTAAAGAACGCTTAATAAGAACTTAATTAAGTTAATGCAATCTAACTCATGAGAAAACTTTGATTATGAAATTAAAGTTTCTATAACAACACCAAAACATACTAATTTATTTCTACCATAATAACATCATCTATATATAATATGAAACAAAACTCATAGGCATTCGTACATATAGAAAAATAGAGTATCTCTCTTGCTATACATTTCTAGTTCAAAAAAAGAAAAGAAAAGAAGAAAAAAAAACAAAGTAATTAATGCTAGTGATGACGATAACACCAATATACCAAGCAAACTCCTTCACTGAGGGACAAGCAGAAGTAATGAAGGAGTTAATTAATTTTAAACCATTACCCATGAAAGATGACAACAAACCATAACTTTTTGGCGGTTACATCCCCTCTTCTACCTGTTGGATATAGGGTTTGGGCCACTTGGAACCTCATGAGCGGCAGCTCCGAAATCTCTTCGTGCAGGTTTTCGCTGTTGTCCTCCAGGATGGAAGGTGGTGGAGGTGGTAGAAGACGCAGAGCTTGTGGTGTCTAAGAGAAGTCTTCGGAAGTGAATTGAGGAGGATACATAGTTTGATGGGTTTATGGGGGAGTTTGTGGGGTTGAGTAGGAGGAGGAGGGAAATGAAGAGAAGGGAGAGGAAGAAGAGGAGAGAGTGGGATTTTCCGGCGGCGGTTGTCGTCTCCGATGATGGAGTTTTAGATGTTGTGGCCATGCAATCAAAGCGAAGAAAGTACCACCCCCCAAGAGCCCACAAGGGTTCAATATCCATGAACCGGAACCAAGGCTAAGAAGGGAGAAAGAGGGAAGGAAAGGACTGTGGAGAAGTTTCAGCAAAGGTGAAAGGAATTGGAATTGGAAAGGAAGGTTTGAAATTCGTTACACATTTGTTTAGGAACAAAGAACTAATTCACTTAACATGGAAGAAATACCATCATATATGAAAGGTGTTTCTATTGGCATGTGAATTTACCAATCTGCCCTTGAAGTGTACGGGACTATAGGAGGAAACCCTAACTAGCTAGCTAGCTTTGAAAGAATAGAAATTTTGGATTTGTTATTTCAAAATGGCCATTATGCCCTCTAATGGACTTGTATTTTATTTTATTTTTCCCACGTGTCGTATGGAAGTAGTTTCTACCTTCTTGTTCTTATTACTTTCTGCATTATTGCAATGTCCAACGACGTAAGATGAAGAACCTTTTTTTTTTTCTATTCAGATAGTTTAGGTGTTTGCGACTGTAGCTTACAGTCACCTTAAAACTGAGAACATCAATTAAAACGAGGCATGCATATGTCATTCAAATATTTAATACGGTTGGTGCATGTCTTGATATTTTAGAAAGAGCAGTTGAAATCACCGCACTTCTCCCAGTTTGTAAATAAGTAAAAAAATAGAACAGAGCACATGGCAGGTTTTTGATTGGTACAAGAGAGCACATGGTATTTGTACTAGATTAATTTGCAAAACATTACCAATTATATATACATTAGACTTTAATAAGAATTTGAGATGAACTTGATCTTCCATTACTCTTTCAAATCTCGTTTCTCTATAAATTAAGTTACACTTCATTATATGTATGTAAGGAAATTCAATGTGAGTCCAAAAGCAATATAGGGATGGATGGAAAAAAAAAAAGAAGGAATTTTAACAAGGGTATTATGGTCTTGAAAATAATCAAAAAGCTAATGCAGAATATATATACATATGGTGAATGCTAGCTGGGGCCATGCATGTTGTAAATCAAAAATTAAAGAATCTTGAAAGAAAAGGCAGTAGCAACAAATTAATAGAAATTAGGGAAAATGATGAAGGGGATTAGTGCTAGCTTTTTCTTGCTTGGCAGGTTCCCCAAGAAATCTTTTCTTTGACTTCCCCAACCCTAACCTTGAAAAAATATTACAATTTAATATTGTTCTTTCCTTTCCTTTGGCTTTTGCTTTTTCTTTTTTCTGCTCTGAAATTCAGAGCTCAAATCTTCCCTTTAAACATTATTTTCCTAAGAAAATAAAACAAATTCTAAAATGAAAACCCAAAAGAACAGGAATACTATTTTAGTTCAGACTAACAAAGAAAAAAATCATTAAATGATGAGTCATATAATTTTTTTTAACAACAAACAATCAAACATTTTATTATTGGAGTATAAAAGATACTCCTAGCTACCCCATCAAGAGTAAATAGTGACTGCTGATGATAAATTATATAATAAAAAATAATTTTTTTTAAATCTTAAAACTTAAATTAAAAATTTTTAATATAAAATTTTAAATTTTTAACCACTTACCCATCTTCTAAGAGACCAAAGGTCATTTTATTTTAGATTGGAAAAAACGCTATCACACCCTAAGTTCTAAAATATGATAAAAATGGTATTTTGTCATTGCAATTTGGATTAACATTTTTTTTTCGTGGACTTAACTGGTTTTTTTGCCAATTTGCTCTAAAAACATTATCTCAGTTCTCAACCCAAAATTCAAATTAATTTTTAATTTTTTTTTGCATATAATTTTTTTTTTCTAAAAGAAAAAGAGAGAGAGAGAGAGAGAGAGAAAGAACGAGAAAAAGGGGTGGCGAAGAAAATTGGCAAAAGGAAAGCATCGTATTCTCATGGGCATGACATGAGGGGAGAGGACTGCTTCCCTTAGAAATGAAAGGGCAAAGACATGGGTGTCTCCATTATGGGGGGTGCATGGGTCCCCACTGCCGCCTCGATAATATGTAATGTAATTCAAAAACCAGCAAAATAGCTAATGGATTTATTTGGTACGTCAGGGACATTTTGGTCAATTTGGTTTCATATACTATCTTTGTCTACAATGAGTGGTTCATCATCATGTCTTTGATGAGATTTTTTTTTGTCTTTGCCTCGCTCATTGTGGAATGGAAGCTGCATTAATTATTCTTGTATCATGAAATACTGTAAACTCTTTTTTTCTTTTTTTACATAAAGGGTAGAGTTTGATGGTAAACTTATAGTTAAAAATGTAAAGAATTTTATTATTAAATTACTTGATTGATAATAATGTAAACTCTTTTTTTTTGTATTAAATTGTTTCAAAAAATCCTTTTTTTAATCAACAAATTAAGGAAGTTAATGCTTAATTATATTATGTAGTAAGGTAGATATTAGAACCTTGATCTTATATATATATTCATATATATATATATATGGGGTGGTGGGCTCAACTTCATCCTTCTACATCCTTTCTACATAAAGGAAAGAGCATTTTACCAACAAAAGCCACAAGCTCAATGAACTCTCCTATATCATTAGAGCAACATTTAAATTTCACTCTTAATTTTTCAAAATATTTATTAAATGGTGATATTTTTAAAATTAAAGTTTCAATTTTTTAATAAAAATCAAATTAATATGCATTATTCTCCTTATATATATTTATAACCATATAGCCGTACACATATAGTTAGAGAGGGATTAAAAACAGAGGGCCCTTAAAACAGCAAAAGACTAAATCAATGCTTTTTTTTTTTTTTTGGTCGAAAGACTAAATCAGTGCAGGCCATGGCTCCAATGATATTATTGCCAAAATGGTGTGGAATCATTATTTCCATTCATTTGCCATGTGATTTGACGTTGTTGAAGTAAACATGCTACCTGCTTCTCTTGTGTCAAACTTTCTGCTTTTCATTTCTCAACCAGAAAGAAAAGACCGCAACACTACAGCCCCATTTTACTTTATAATTCACCACCAAAATTAGGATGTTGTGTGATTAATTTAATCAATTTTGGGGAAACAAAAGTATTAATTATATCAGCATGAATCACTTCTGCTGTCATTTTCTTCGTGTAAAAGTGAAATATAAACAAATTAATCTTTTTTCTTGTGCATATGAGTCATCCAACCTAGATAGTCATTATTTTTTTTTCTAAATCCTTTCACACTCATTTTAAGATTAAAATTTGAGAATTTGATCTCAAAGTATCAAGTTTTTATCGATAAAAACACTGTTTTACTAATTAAAATAAGTTCTTAAAAAAACATTATTGTAGTTAAGAGCTTGAATTTCTATTTTGAAGATCTCAAGTTCACAATTTAAGATGAATGAAGAAAAATTTTAAAATAAAATAATTATTTTTTATTATATAACTTATACCTGATATATATATAATTTAAATAATAATTGAGATAAAAATAATAAACAACTTAATTACAAATAGAAAACTTGATAATTAAAAAAGAATCCCAAGAAAATCCCTGCGCAATGCCAATGGGTGCCTCGAAAGTCAAAAGGAATTAATGGACAAAAGATTTTCCATATGTAATAAGTTTGTTGTTTTTGTTAACCGTAGCAATAAATTAAATCAGGAATGACATGATCAAATCAATGATGTTCCAAAGCCAAGCCAAGACAAGCTCTCTATTTTTATCAATGAATGCAGCTTTTTCTTCAGTTAGGTAAGCAGCTCTATGGTAGCTAGAAGAAGCAATTCTAAGTTATCATACTATTTGTGACCCAAATTGTCAACAATTTGAGGTGAGCTCCCAACCCCAAATCTCATTGTCTCTTGGTTTTTCTCTTTTCTTCTAATTAATAGGTTTTCTATTTGTATTGCATAAAAGCTGTCATCTATATGATTACTTGGTGTTAAAAGTAGGAACCATATATGCCGCAAGATTTCAAGATTATTTAAATAACGGGGAACTAGCCAGATTTTTAGCTAACAAGATTTAATTTATTGGAATTAATATTCATCTGAAAAGTCCAAGAACAACTCAAAATGTTCAAGAACAAAGATAGAAAAAGGAAAATGAAAGAAAGAAGGCAACCTCAAGTTGGGCGCAAGATGTGTACATCATTTATGGACTCGTTTGGCAGCAATCATAAAAATGAAGTTGATACATATATAATTTTATTTAATATAAGATTTAACAATATCATCAAAAGAGTATAATTCATGTGCCTTAAAAAGGGAAATGAGTTATTAATTATAATTACCGTTCTATCTCAAAATTGTAGAACTTTATTATGAAATAAGATTATTATGTATATATGAAGTATTTTCTTAATAAAAAAATCAACCACTTATTTTTTTTAATGCTTAATTATTATAAATGTGTGAATTATTAGTTAACCGAACTCATACTCTAGATTTTAAAGTTAATACATTGACACTAACATATACGTATAGACATGCAGTACTGCTAATAGACATGGATGTTAGACAAGAAATAGCATGGTATAAGCAGCAAAAATACAGTTAGCAAGATTTTTATATTACATCACCTGTCAATTTCATTCCTCATTTTCCTCCCTTCCCCCCCCGCCAAGAAAAAAAAAAAAAAAAAAAAAGTCAACTCCCATTTTGAGGTGGAGTGGGAATTACCATAAACCAGACATACAGCATTGGTATAAGGAATAATAGCTTTCAATCTGAGAAGTATATATATATAATAATGGCTTTCAATCTTTCTTTTTGATATTCTTTTCCCACTAACACAAGGTTATGACTAATTGGGCTTTTGGTTTTCAGATTTCAGTAAAGAAAACACAAAGTCAGCAAAGTCGTGTTTAAATTCCATAGGGCTCCAGCTTCTTAACTTTTTTTTTTTTTATATGAACTCATTTGTCAACAAGGCCAACCCTCTCTAATTTTTAGATTGTTTACAATAAGTTCAAACTAATCCAATATTTTAGGTGGGTGGAAATTATGGTTCTCCACTCATCCCTTTGAAAGTCATGGTTTATTGTCTCATGAGGTGCAATTTTCTTAGTTCCTTTTATCAGATGATGATGCTTTTGGCTTTTCCGTTGTGACCAGCCTTGGCATCAATAATTCCTAGGTGTTCGTGAAGGTAATGCAATGGAAAATGATTGTCTCCTTTTCAAAATTCATTAGTCATCCTAAATTTTAACAGTTGAATTTCAAAACCTTAAATTTGAAAAATCTCTACTTATTGACAGAAAAAAAAAATCTCTTCTTAAATTGTCTGCCCTCAAAAAATATATATGTTAACTAGTAAGAGTTTAAAAATATAAATTGAAGGTTTTTAATTTAAGTCTTTAAATAAAATTATTTCTCATTATATAACTTATAATTAGATGTATAAAAAAAAATTTCATCTAAAAAAAGATGAAAATTTTAGCCCTTTGCTCTCCTCAAGTCATCTATTGTATTAGCATTGACTTGCCAAGTGTATGTAATAAACCGCGTGCGTCTCCCGTGTATTTAGTGTCTAAACACTTCCCTCCAGTAGAACCCAAAAAAAAAAAAAAAAAAAAAAGGAAAAAAAGAAAAAGAAAAAGAAAAATCCATCTAAAAGAAGATGAAAATGTCAGCCCTTGCTTTCCTCAAGTATACACTATATATTATTATAAATCTTAAAACTCTAGGAATCAAAGGCCATTTGGCCTTCCATTCTCAAGCTAAAATGATTCCAAATTAGGGGATTAATGCAGATTCTAATTCCATCTGAAAGAAAAGCAAGAATAAACTAATTAATTGAACAAGGTCCTTGTAAAATAATCAAATATAATATTCATTTAGTCAGATGCCGTCCATAATGGTATGATATGACTCTATATTCAACTTTACCATACAATAATGCATTCAAAGTTCCAGCCAGTCAAATAAATATATTCTATTCTCCAAAGTTGGTTTTGTTTTTTCTTGATCTCCATACCTGGCAAAGATGCTGAGTCTATTCTCCAGGGCTCTTATTAGTCAAATATGGAGCACAATAAGGAGAATGATAAGGTGATCACCTTTTTTTAACTTTGCCTGCATGGGATCTTTTTTGGCCGGAAGTCAGGTTCCACAGTTCCATATAAAATATTTAGTTTGAAATTCCCGTTTATAGAAGGAGACATCTTCGAAAATTACAAGTTACATGAACCATGATTAAAAGCAGAAAAGTATCAAATTCAGAGGTGAGAATCAGTAGAGTTGGTAAAGTCTTTAATGGGTGTATCATGCTAGAACCAAGATTGAATCTTAACCTTCACCAGGGGTGGTGGGTTAAGAGAAGGAGAAGGGTTACAACCCAACATTTAATCCACACACGAAAAATGTATAAAAGTTTAATGCTCATCTATTCTTTTCTCATCCATTAATTGTTAAGGAAGAACCTGCCTCTTGCATTTTATATTTTCAAAGAGCCAAGAAGAAATTGAACTGAAATGTAGATAAAACTAACTTAGAAATTGGAATACACCATCCCACTTTCTTTTATGGCTTGGCCCAAAATGGAGAAAAGTGAGGTTAATGAGACTAAAAGCACATAAAGTTGAGCGGATTTGAGTCATAAAGTTGAAGAATGGGATAAGGATCCATCATGCGCCGCATGCTTTGTCCTTGATTGAAAGATGATTGATGGCAAAAGATATAAGAATATAGTTGAAAGTAAGACACTAATATTTTCTATTCACCTCTCGTTCCCTAGTGTTAGCAGCTCTTTTCATACCATCCATCTATGCCAAACTTGCTAATTTATTGAAAACTCTAGCCCGCAAGTTATGATGTCTATGGCTTCAAGTCATAAATAATTAGTTTCAAGTTCATAATAAGGATTAGGCTAATTCAACATAGGCTACTAGAAGCAGACCTAATTCTTGACCATGCTAATAGATATATTATCAACCTTAATCATCGCCAAAGATGTCGAACTCTTTCTCGATCCCTATTCACGTTCATGCTCACGCATTGCATACGCACACATATAAAAACAAGACACAAAAGCTAAGTTCTGACCATTTAACTATCCTTATTAGACAAATAAAAAAGCATATGGCTATAGACAATGTTAGAAGTCAAATAAGATACGCAAGAAGACATCAAATGAGACGATTTTTGTCCTAAAACCAATGAACACAAGCAACCATATTACTTTACAGACATGCACAAGAATGCAGACCAAATAGTATTCAAAAGAAGTCATCACAAACTTTGAAGAAAAGAATGTTGCACTTGGTAATTATCCCACTAACAGAGCATAGTCTCCTGAATCAAACATATGCTCGAAACGAGGCACATGGGAAAAAATAATTAATATGAGAAGATAAGCTATTGCAGAAAGGTGTGATCCTACCTATAATTAAGGATATAGAAAACCCGACAAAGCAAGATTTCCTTTTGTTCTTCGATCTCTTCCTGTGTTGTTTCCTTAATTTCTTGAACAAAATCGTATTTATTATCAAAATTAAATCATAACAGTTTCATCTGCCTAGCTGCTTTCATGAGAGGTTCCTTTCACCAAAGGCAAAACAAATAAAATAAAATAAACACCAGAATGAGGCCAAAAGGCAATTGTGGCCCCACACAGACACTAACAGTAATTTCTAACGTAATAATCTATTAATTCATGATTCAACAATGATAGCACATAAAAAAGTTTTACTTACGTACATTTATATGGTGAAGAACGCAGCATCCTTTAACATTGTATTTTGGGCTTCTTTCTGCAGGCTTGGATAGTGATGCTTCAATTGACCCTTCGTCCATCATTTCAGAACACCACTTTTTTTTCCCCTTTCTCTGCCCATTTTACAACTTGAAATCACAAATTTTTTCTCAAATAATTTGGATCCATCCATGCTGCAGAAAGAAATGTTGCTTTCAAGTCTTCAAATGCAGATGGAAACTCTCATAATGCAGATATAATCCATGAACTCCAAGCTATACTTGAGTGCCTTTTAATTTAAGCATCCTGCTGGTATTCCAAAAATTAAGGAATTGATGTCTTAAACTTGTAGGTCCCAAACTTAACAAACCCTAGTTATCAGAGAATCAAATCTCTCCTTGTAACAAGCGGGCTTGCAAGATACGATTTAGAAATGGGAGACCTTGCTTTATAGAAAGGTGTGGACACCCTGAATTGATTAATGTATAATAAGAAGTTTCTCAGCAAAAAAGATTATCATGTAAAGATGGTAGGGCACAGAGATTATCTTCTGAAATGCACTTTTCCTTTTGCAATCTTTTGAAAAGAATTATTATAGGCCGTGCCAATCACTTTCTGCGGTCAGCATTCCCACTATCTCTTCTTCATGAATACCTTAAGAGGTACATCATACATGCACCATAATTATGTACCAATCAAGACATAAAAATATGGTCATGATAAAGGATGTAATTACTTTGCTGACATCCTTGGGTTGAAAAGAAATGTTCGGGATTGATCCAGCCTAGATTAAGCCATCTCTAACATTTTTCAAGGAATTCACATTTTGAGCCAAGAAGGTCGTCTTCAGGCACTTTCAACAGCTGCAT